GCAGCGGTGACATCCGTTGGGGTAGCTGTAGCAGCATTGGCGGCAGTGGCAGCTGTAGCAGCTGTAGCAGCAGTGGCAGCTGTAGCAGCTGTAGCAGCAGTGGCAGCTGTAGCAGCTGTAGCAGCAGTGGCAGCTGTAGCAGCTGTAGCAGCAGTGGCAGCTGTAGCAGCTGTAGCAGCAGTGGCAGCTGTAGCAGCAGCGTCAGAGAAATGTTGCTGCTCCAGCGAGGCACTGCTAGGTCCGGATTCCAAGCCATTTGGCACCGAACCAGCCAACACCAAACCTGCCGGCACCGAACTTGCCGGCACCGAACCTGCTGGCACCAAGCCTCCTGCCACCGAGCCTCCTGATACCATGCCTCGTACACGTCCATTTGTCTGACATTGTGCTGTTTCTTCCGCCCCTTCAGCCCGAGCCGTACTTGTAGCCATGGCCCGAGCCTCGGCCACAGCTTCGGTATGGATTTCAGCTTCCAGGTCACTCACTGCACTCTCTGATACCACACCACACTCCGCTGCTGCGGCTGCCTCTGCTGCTGCTTCTGCTGCTGCTGCTGTCGGCCCAGCAAACGCAGCAGCAGCAGTGGTGGCGCAGGTCTCAGCATCACCAGCAGCATTGGCAGCAGCATTTACTCGAGCTGCTGCTGCTGTCGTTGGTGCTGCTGTTGGTGCTGTTACTCTGTCAGTTGTTGTTGTTGCTGCTGTCGTTGCTGCTACAGTTGTTGTTGCTGCGGCTGCTTCTGTTGCAGTTACGTCTAATGCTGCTTCTGCTGTCCCTGTAGGTTTTTGCCAACTCTGCACAAGATTCGTATGAACTGCACTTGCTGTGCCTATTTCACCAAGGCTCTGCTCTTGCTGCTTTTGTTGCTGTTGCTGCTGTTGCGGCTGCTGCTGCTGCTGTCGCGGCTTTTGCTGCGTCTGTGGCTGTTGCTGCTCGTGCTGGTGTGTGCGTTGTGATTCAGACACATAGGAGGAAGGACCAGGAGCAGCCGAACCTGGAGCAGCCGAACCAGGAGCAGCCGAACCAGGAGCAGCTGAACCAGGAGCAGCCAAACCAGGAGCAACCGAAGCAGGAGTAGCCGAACCAGGAGCAGCCGAACCTGGAGCAGCTGAACCAGGAGCAGCCGAACCAGGAGCAGCCGAACCAGGAGCAATTGAACCAGGAGCAACCGAACCAGGAGCAGCCGAGCCAGGAATAGCAGCCTTTTGCTGCTGATACTGCGGCTGCTGCAGCAGCTGCGAGTGTTGTGGCTGCACTTGAGGGGGTTGTACCATCCCCTGTTGCGACTGTTGCTTCTGTAGTTGCGCTGCCTGCAGCTGCTGTGGTAACTGCTGCGCCTGTGGCGGCCGTAACTGCACTGTGTGTAGCTGTGGCGGCTGTAGCTGTGGCGGCTGTAGCTGCTGTTGGAAGGTCTGCATAAACGACACTGAAGGGGTGATGCCTTGCACCCTGTACCTCGCTGCTCCTGATAAACCCCCTGCTACAGCCCCTGCTCCTGCTACAACCCCTGTTCCTGCTGCAGCCCTTGTTCCTGCTACAGCTACCATTCCTGCAACAGCCTCTTTTCGTGCTCCATTCGCTGCTGTTATTCCGGCCTGTACACCTGCTGCTCGTGCTACAGCCGCTCCTGTTCCTGCTACAGCCCCTGTTCGTGCTACGGCCGTTCCTGTTCCTGCTGCTCGTGCTACAGCCGTTCCTGTTCCTGCTACAGCCCCTGGTCGTGCTACAGCCGTCCCTGTTCCTGCAACAGGTACTGCTGGATCCATACCCGTTACAGCCGCTCCCAGTTCCGCCACAGAGTCTCTCTGGGTTCCTGCTACAGCCAGTGTTGCTGCAGGCCCACTCACGCTGACTCCTGCCTTTGGCCCTCCCGCTACAGCCCCTGATTTGCTACTCCCCCCAGCATCCCTCGCTGCTGCAGCTGTCTGAGTTTCTGCTACAGCCGGCGGCGCTGCAGGCCCACTCACGCTGACTCCTGCCTTTGCCCCTCCTGCTACAGCCCCCGCTTTGCTGATTCCCCCAACAGCCCTCGCTGCTGCAGCCGAAGCTGCAGGCACACCTGCTGTTGGCTCTGCTCCTGCTGCTACAGCCACTGCTACAGCCCCTGCTTCAGGACCTGCTCCTGCTACAGTGCTATTTGCTACAGTGCCTGCCACTCTAGCCGCGGTTGTAGCCGCTACAGCTGCAGGTCTTCCTGTGACAGGTCCTGACACGCTGCCTGCTGCTGTCGCTGCCGCTGCGGCTGCTGCGGCTGCTGCTGCTGCTGCTGCTGCTGCTGCTGCTGCAGAATCCCCTTCTCCTAAAGTCCCTGATCCTGCTTCAGGCGTTGCTGCTACAGGGGATGCTGCTACAGCTGTCGCTGCTACAGCTGCTTCTGCTACAGACGATGCTGCTACAGGAGATGCTGCTATAGCTCCGCCTCTCCCTCCCCCTCCCACTCCCGCTATGGTTGCCCCCACCCCTGCCCCACTCCGCCCCCCTCTCCCCCCACCTCCTTGTCTCCCCCCAGTACCCCCTCCTCTGCCCTGCGCCGCTGTCTTTCTCCGCTCCGCAATCCCCTCTTCCCCCATGGCTTCCCCCGAAATGCTCCGCTCTCCCCCGCCCCCTGCCCCACTCCCCGCGCCAACCCGTGCCTCCCCCGCCGCACCAACCCTCGATTCCGCTGCGCCAACCCTCGCCTCACCCGCTGCGCCAGCCCGCGCCTCCGCTGCGCCAACCTGCGCCTCCCCCGCGCCAACCCGTGGCCCCCCCACGCGAACCCGCGGCTCCCCTGCGCTATACTTCTTCAGCGCAGCTTCCAGCTCCGCAAACCTGCTTCCCCCAAACCCGCCTGCACCCGGAACGTTCCCCCTAGTTTTGCCCCCCCCGACTCCGCCAGCTCCGCCAGTTCCACCAGCTCCCGCGGAGATATCCGCGTTTCTAACCTCCTCGGGAACGTCTGCTATATTCAGCGATCCATCAATCAGAGCTGTGAGTATGTGGTTCGACGAGTCGATCAGCCAATTAACTACACTAGAAGCCGAAGCGCGTTTGATCTTACGCCTCCCTAATAACTGCTGGAGGCGGAAAAATCGGTCCGCGGTATCCGGATTTAACCTAATCATCGTATTCTTCCCGCCCGATGCTTTCTTATGCCGATCCTTGCTACGATCTGTACTCTTGCTTCGATCTGAACTGTTCGTAAGTCGACGCGCAGAATTCGAGGGGAGCGGCGCGGCTCCGGTTGCTGACGTGGACGGAGTCACGACGGGATTCGCGGCGAGGATGGTGGGAGGCAGGAACGGGGTAGCCGAAGAAGGGGCCGCAGATGCGAGGGAAGCAGGGGCAGAGGTGACGGCAACTATGGCGGCGTTCGCGGCGGCAGCGGCGGAATTGCGGGCTGCGCGTTTGACGTCCATGGCGGCGAATAGCTCGCCAAAACTATGTGAGATTTTAGGCAACTGATGGAGAGAACGGGGTCTAGGTCACAGCGGCCAAATCGCCAAAAAACATGGGAAAGACCTGCCATCAGTAGGACTCTCGCTACTAGTCTAGAGAATTCCGTTGTCATGGATTGGTCGAAGACATATATGCGTTATAGAGAATAATTTATCAAGCATCTACACTATGATACAGCATCATACTTGGACAAGTAGCGAGCTGGGAGAACCAAGGATTTGGCTAATAGAATGCAACAGCCACCCCCTTTACAGCTTACAGAAATCAGAGTGTGCTTGGAATAACTCACCAATACTCGAGACAGTTATAACATACAGTTTCGATTGAAACTGCCTATGTCTGAGGCATGTAAAAATGCTTGTGTCATAGGTTGAAGGAACAGACAATCATGCTTATTTTTCCTTCCCTTGATAGAAGGAAGCAAGGAATGTCTATTGCTCTTGCTTTGCCCTCTCCTCTTCTTCCTCCTCGTCGGTCTCCTTATTAGCCAGAGCTACCAAGCAAAGCCCAGCACAAATGCACAATGCACCCACAAACCACCTAGGCTTTAACTCCTCCCCTAGCAGGAGCACTCCTAATGCACCAGACCACAGAATGGAACAGGAACTGCTGATCATGGTCGCCCCAAGAGACGAGATCCCCTCCATGGACTCGATATAAGAATGCCACATTCCTACTGTTAAAAATAAAACACCGCCGTAACACACAATGGAAATAACTGCGTCTGCGGCACCGTAGGCGTCTAGGAGCGTGAGTGGGGATAGGAGAGGGAAGGAGCGCCACGAGCCGGAAAGGCGGGCGAGGATGGGTTTGCAGGCGCCGATGAATCCGGCGAAGATGCAGAGGAGGAGAGAGCGCTGGAGGGATGGTCGAGCCATGTGAGGAGCGGCTGAGAGCACGTGCGGCCAGGAGGAGGAGACCTTGCGAATTAGGGTCTGAGGTCAATGACGTAGAAGCGCAGATCACCGTAAGAGAGAAAATTGTAAGTCTGATATAGCGGACGCGTTCAAGATCGAGAGAAAATGCCCAAGAAAGCTAACTTTGACGGGGTGAGAAGGCTGAGGCACAGAACATCGCGTCGACGGAAAGAATTGGGGAGGTACGAAGAAACTGGTAGCAATCGCGGCTTGTATACTTCTAAAGAGGCGCGAAAGACCCAGCGATAGGAATCCTAGTGCCGATCTCAGTGCACTACTTAGTCGGAGGTAAGAGCAGATCCACCAGAATCTAGGATAGTTGAACAAGCAGGCAATCACCAGCAAACTTGTTGTTGCATGGTCGTTACTCAATTCATGAGGTGCGTAGAGTGGGTTCCAAGTTTCGGCTCAAGTGTCAGATGGAGTTTCCGATCTCGTTTCACCCCATCTGGGAATCAACTGACCGCGGAGGCACATCCTGCTAGGCAAGCGCTCGCGAAATTGTCGAGCCGAAACTGGTACGCATTAGTCCGAAATGCTTTCGCTGGAAAATCGATTACTGTAGCACGGTTACACGTTCGGTGTCAGGACAAGCCGAAACTGAAACATGTGTATTCCGAACATTCACCGAACGGGGCAATTTTCATGATTTCACGGCTCGTACAAGCAGCCGTTTCCTTCACACAACACCAACCACATAAATCAGGCAATCCGGTTCACCTCTGGTTCAGCCTGTGCGGGATTCGCCAGCCATCAGTGCAAAATTCGCCAGCTATGGCGTCCGCCGTGCGGCTGTTGCGACATCGCTCTCGCGAAGCAGACTCCGCAATTCACCGATTAACTTGTAACTACACGTCTGCTCGTGCCTATGCCACAGACTCCATACCCCCGTTCCCCCACAGGCGCCGTTCGTCCCCCGCGTCATCAGCGATCCGCGCAGCATGTTCTCTTGCACCCGCCCCGCGCGCCGATCCTTCCGCCTCTTCCGCCTCTTCCGCTCCTCCTCCCCCGCGTCCGCTTCTTCCGCCTTCGTCGTCTCCGCAATTCCCCCAGCATTTCCACAACTCCGCTATGTCTGCTTTCGCGGAAGATCCGCGGAGAGCGCAGTTTCTGGGCAACACGCGGGGAACGGGGGGAGGTGGGGGAAATGGAAAAAGCGGAGGGTCGAGGGGAGAGCGCTGGTGGAACCGCCGCGGAGGGGAGTGGGCGGGCGCAGGCGGAGCAATTTTTGCTGGGGTGGCGGCAGTGGGGGTAGCTTGGGGGGAGGCGCGGAGCAGCAAAGAGGGAAGGGCAGAGGAGAAAGGGAAGAGAGGGGAAGGAGGAGGAGTAGGGGAAGAGGGGGAGGAGGAGGAAGGGGAGTTGGTTTCAAATTGGAGTGGTACGCATGAGGTTCGGGCCGCTGTGGTGTACCGACCCGAGTCCATGCAGGTGATTTGAATAATGTGTGTGCGTGTATGCATGTGTGCGTGTATGCATGTGTGCGTGTGTGCTTATATGCAGTGGGGTGTGTGTCTTACAGCGTGTATAACTGGAGTGGTGTGGTGGTAGGCATCGCCCTATCCTCCCACCCACCCATCGCAGTAGCATTTGAAATGCTTAGTGCAGTCGGCCCATGCAGAAGGCCGCACCATCCGCCCTGTGGGCAGCGCCATCTCCCCCAACGGCATTGCTCTTCCGTCCCTTCCCTCCCTCCCACTATTCCCAACAGGATTTGGAACGGATAGTTCGAGCAGCCCACAGGGAGGGTCGCACCATCCGCCCTGTGGGCAGCGCCATCTCCCCCAACGGCATTGCTCTGAGCGCCCACGGCATGGTGAATCTGGCCTTAATGGACCGAGTGCTGCATGTGGATAAGGCCACGGGGAGGGTGCGCGTGCAGGCAGGGGCGCGCGTGGAACAGGTGGTGGAAGCACTGAGGCCGCATGGATTGACGCTGCAGAACTATGCTTCAGTGCGGGAGCAGCAGATCGGCGGGTTCATACAGGTGAGCGGTAGGGGTTGGACTGGATGGGGTGCGGTGTTGTGCTGCATGTGGGTCAATGGCAGGGCGCTGGTGGGAGGGTGCGCGTGCAGGCAGGGGCGCGCGTGGAACAGGTGGTGGAGGCACTGAGACCCTATGGATTGACTCTGCAGAACTACGCTTCAGTCAGGGAGCAACAGATCGCCAGGTTCATACAGGTAAGCCTGTGGTGTTGGATAAGTGCTGCCCGCGTGTCATGGCACTGGCATGGTGAACCAACCTGACCTAGATGGACCTAGTGCTGCATGTGGGTGTGGATCGGGCACAGGTTGGTCCAGGGAGGGTGCGCGTGCAGGCAGGGGCGCGCGTTGAGCAGGTGGTGGAGGCTCTGAGGCCGTATGGGCTTACCCTGCAGAATTACGCGTCTGTGCGAGAGCATCGCAGCAGATAGGGGGATTCATTCAGGGGAGCTCACATGGCTGTTAGGTTCGTGACTTTTTCTTGTGACACCTAGTCGTGACAGGGACAAGCACCTTCATTCCCCCCCCTCCCCTTCCCCCAACTTCCCCCCCCCCCAAGGTGGGAGCACACGGCACAGGGGCCGGCATTCCCCCAGTGGAGAAGCAAGTCGTGGCCATTAAGCTCGTGACACCTGCTTGTGACAGGGACACACGCCTTTCCCCCTTCCCCTTATGCACCGCTTTTTCTCCCTTTCCCCACCTTCCCCCACCTTAGGTGGGAGCACATGGCACAGGGGCCGGCATTCCCCCAGTGGACGAGCAGGTGGTGGCCATTAAGCTCGTGACACCTGGCAAGGGCACGCTGCATCTGACGCCCGAAGCTGACCCGGACCTGTTTTACCTGGCTCGGTGCGGGCTCGGAGCGCTGGGGGTGGTGGGGGAGGTGGAGTTACAGGCAGTGCCGGCTCACAGACTAAGGGAGGAAACGTTTGTTACTACTAAGGAGGAGATCAAGAGGCATCATGGGTGAGTAAGCAGTTGGAGTGAAAGGGAGGAGCTGGGTTGCATGGAAACACATGCTGGGGATGGTGGGGGAGGTGGAGTTGCAAGCAGTGCCGGCTCACAGGCTCAGAGAGGAAGCATTCGTTACTGCCAAGGAGGGGATCAAGAGGCACCATGTGTGAGTGCGTTGGGAATGGTTGTCTCAGAATGGTGGAAACACGTGCAAGGGGTGGTTAAGGCGCTGCTGGGGGAGGTGGAGTTGCAAGCAGTGCCGGCCGGCTCACAGAATGAGGGAGGAGACGTTTGCTACTATGAAGGAGGAGATTAAGAGGCATCATGGGTGAGTAAGCAGTTGGAGGGCTCGGAGCGGTGGGGTTGATGGGGGAGGCGGGGTTGCAGGCAGTGCCGGCCGGAGCACTGCCTGAACACTGCCTCGGCCGAGGCAGTGCTCTCGGCCGAGAGAGGAGACGTTTGTAAGGCCCAAGGAGGAGATCCAGGGGCATCACCGGTGAGTAGGCAGTGGTGGTGGATGCTTGTGGGGTGATGGAGGGTGCTTGAGTCACCCCAGCACGCTTGAGTCAAGGGTGCTTGAGTCACATGGACATGCGTGCTGGGGGTGGTTGGGTCGGTGCGGGCGCGGAGCAGTGGTGGGTGGGGATGGGGGAGGTGGTGTTGCAGGAAGTGCCAGCTCGCAGACTAAGGGAGGAAACATTCGTTACTGATAAGGAGGAAATCAAGAGGCATCACGTGTGAGTCCCTGAAAGAGGGAGACTGGGAAGGGGAATGGGGGGGAGAGGGTTTAACTACTTACGACTCAGAAGTGGGACTCACGGGCGGGTTGGGTGGTGGGGAAGGTGGGGGTACAGGCAGTGCCGGCGCAAAGTGAGTAGCCTCAAATTTCACGGCTCATGTCTGTCTTCCTCTTTGCCCTCTTCCTTTTCCCAGCCAGTGGTTGCGGGACTACCAGCACGTGCGCTACATGTGGATTCCACACACACAGGCAGTCGTGGTGGTCAGGAGCAACCCTGTCGCTAACACCGCCACCAGTGCGGGATCAGCAGTGCAGGGCAAGGGACCTGACAGTGGGCCGGCGTTGAGCGAGGGTGAGAAGCTGGCTCACGTGCGGGCGCTGTACCTCGCATCGGTTGCTGCAAGGAGAAGGTGAGTTAAGCAGAACAAGATGTGCTAATGAGCACGAGTTGGCTCACATGCGAGCTCAGGGGCTTATTATATGAACGGGGCACATGCAGACAAGAGCGCTGGCGAGCCTGCGTTGAGTAAGGGAAGCTGGCACGCATACGAGCGCTGTACGTGGCATCAGTTGCTGCAAGGAGAAGGTGAGGTGAGGTCCCCACCAGGATCGTTCTCGGGTAACGTGTTGTTGACATCTTTCTACGTGTAATGGAAGGACCCCTTCAATTGCTGCGTTGGGCGATTCAAGCAAGGAGAAGCATCGCTAACCTCCTTTAACCCTTCGAGTCGCATTCTGTTCTGTTTTGTGCATTTTTTTCTATCCTGGTTCGATACAATTTCTCATTTGCCTTCACTCAAGTTTCTTTCTTTCATTCGTTTCTTTCTTGGGTTCGCATTCTGTTACATCCTGGTTCGATTACAATGATTTTCACCTTGGTTTGATTCTCATTCTGGTTCACCTCAATCACACTCTGCCATGATTCAGTCGTATTTCTGAAACTTTCCAAGCTAAACATCTTTCCCAACACATCTTCTCCATTTCTCTCCCTTCCCTCCCACCACCACCATTCCTCCAGCTCCAAACCTTCTCGGTCCCAACCCCACCAACCTTCCTCCTCCCCCTCCTCTGCCCCATCCTCCTCGCCCTCCCCCGGACATACGTCTACCACCGAGGCAGCTGCTGGCATGTGGTCCGGCACAGGTTCGGTCGAACCTGCACCTCCGAGCCAGCGCTTCCTGACCGAAGCTGAGCTTGGGGAGCTGTCGTTCACGAGGCTGAGGGACGAGCTGCTGGCGCTTGATCCATTGAATCTGGACCACGTGCGGGCGATCAACCAGGCCGAGGCGTTGTACTGGAAGCTGAGTGAAGGGGAGAGGTGAGTTCATGTATGTGGGGAGGAATGGAATAGAGGATTCATTGAATCTGGACCATGTGCGGGCGATCAAGCATGCAGAGGCTCTGTACTGGAAGCTGAGTGAAGGGGAGAGGTGAGTGTGTGTGGGCGCTAGATCATTTGAATCTGGACCTTGTTGGGGCGACCAATCAGGAAGAGGCTCTGCACTGGAATGTGAGTGAAAGGGGGAGGTGAGTGTGTGCGTGTGGAGGGAAAAACATTCATGCTTGTTTGGACGTGCATCTGTTTCTTAGGTGCCAGATTCATTGAATTTGGACCATGTGCGGACTATTAACGAGGTGGCATTCAAGTCAACTAAAAGGGCTGATCACTAGTAAGGGGAACAGGGAGCATGTGTGTGCGTGCTGCCTGCGTGTGTGTGTGGGAATGTGATGTCCATGCATGCACATGAGGTATGTTGAGCATCCAGCCTAGTGTCTCGTAGTAATGGTATTAATCACAATACAAAAATAGGCACATTGAACTCAAATATTTTTCCCTTGCAGAGAAGGGTGGAGTGACCAGATACTGGGCTTTGACTGTGGTGGGCAGCAGTGGGTATCAGAAATATGCTTCAAGGCAGGCAGCAGCAGCAGCAGCAGCAGCAGCAGCAGCACCACCACCACCACCACCAACAGCACCGCCATCAGCAGCAGCAGCGGCAGCAGCAGCAGCACAGCAGACATAGCGTTCATGGAGGAGTTATTGGCGTTGATCGAATCAGAGGGTATCCCCGCCCCGGCTCCCATAGAGCAGCGCTGGACCAGTGGCAGCCGCAGCCCGATGAGCCCCACTGCTGGTGCTTATAACGCTGCTGCAGGTTCGGCAGCAGGTTCAGCGGCAGATGGAAGAGCGCTGGATGATGTTTACTCATGGGTATGTGGAAATGCTGCTGACTCTCGTGCATGCAGGTGTCTGAAGAATGTGTTAGATGTTTATTTGTTGGTATGTGGTGTGATGTTCACTCATGGGTATTTTAAAATGGCATGTAAGGCATCGTAAACCATCTCTTTTGTTTTTTTCAACACGCCCATCCCCATCCAAGTTGCATTCATTGATCTGATTATCTCATCACCCTTTTCATCAGGATTTCTTATATATTTGTACCGGGCTTTCCCATCACATACAGGTTGGCATTATCATGTATCTGCCGTCCAATGACCCCGACCAGCGGGCAGCCATCACCAAACATTTCCTCGACTACAAGTTTTTGACTGCCCGCAGGCTCTGGGACAAATACGGAGCACATGAGCACTGGGCAAAGATTGAGGTATGACCGTTACAAGTAAAAGAGGTCAAATGAAGATGATGTGTTTGGAGGGTGTTTGTTAGACAAATGTTAATTCTCTCCTTCCCTTTTATACTCCCACTTTTCCCAACCTTCCTTTCCCATGTTTTCTTGCCGTTTTATCTCCTACTTCTTTTCTCTCCACCATAAACTGTTGACATATTCTCTGGTGTTATCATCCCTGGCGCCTTTTCTGCCTTTTCCAAAATTGCTTCCTCCCTCCACCTCCAATCGCACAGATCCCTTCAGATCCCGCCACTCGTGAGTGGCTGGTGTCGCGCGTTGCTCGCAATTTCCCCGTGGCCAAGTTGAATGAGTATCGGCGAAAGCTGGATCCCAAGAACGTGCTAGCCAATGACATGCTTGATGTGCTGTTCCCTCGTTAAATCAGGTCAGGACAACTCTTGATGAAGCTGCAATTTGTTGCTTCCGATGTCATGTACAATAATCATTCTTGTAACAAATCAATGCCATTCTTGCTGTACACTGTTGTGCGCAGCATAAACAACATGAGATTCCATTCCATGGTCATGTAGTGTCCATTCCATTTTTGTTAAAATGGTGTTTTATTGTGCGTTTGGAAGATACGGTACTTCAAATCACAGGCAGTCAGTTACACACATCTCAGCAGCAGCTCATCTGAAGCAGTATCAACAAGCCGACTCAAAAACCTATTAGCATATTGTAACCCATCATGGTAACCAGTCAATTCAGTAACCTAGTATCTGAGCCCTATAACCAAAAGAATAACTCCCACCTATACGTCACTTGGTTTGGAAGATATTTTGGATCATTGGCCGTGGCACCTCAGCAGCGGCGTCATCCAAAGCTGCGACCTCATTGGACGACAGCCGCCAGCCAAGCGCTCCCAGATTCTCCTTTGCTTGCTCCACGGTCTTGGCTCCTGGGATGGGGACAGTCCCCTTGGCCATGCACCAGTTGATAGCCACCTGTAAACAAGGGGAGTAGGAGGAGCATGCACAAACTTAAGAAAGTAGGTTGCTTGTCTGCTTGCTCCACGATCTTGGCTCCTGGGATGGGGACTGTGCCTTTGGCCATGCACGAGTTGATAGCCACCTGGTGACATGGCGGGCAGGAGGAGCACATAAATGTGTCACATTAAAAAGGCACATTCAAGTGTTTCCATGTAGAGAAGGCTCCTAGGATGGAGACCAGACCCCGCATCCTTGGCCATGCAACAGTTGTTTGCCATGCATAGGTTGATTTCCACGTGTTTAGTGAGAATAGGTGGGATTGAGACAGTGTGTGATGGAGCAGAAAGGCGGGATGGAGAGCAGAGAAGTCAAAAGAAGGCACAGAATCACAGATAGAAAGGGGATTGCGGGGTATGAATTCATGTAGAAAACGAAGATGGGATAATATAAGTCTCAGAATTGACTTGCCTGGGGCAGGGTTTTGTTTCGCTTTTCCCCGATTTCCGTCATGAGCCCTAGAAGAGGGTCCAGGCCGGGCAGCAGTTGTTGGAACAAAATACCTCTGAATAGAGAACAAGAAACAGGTGTGGGGGAATGGGGAGGAAGGTGTGGGGGTGTCAGACAGGAGAGAGGGTGGGCAAGGTTGACAAAGAGTTGTGGGGATGTGAGGGATTAGTAGTGCACAGATGAATAGAGGGCAGGTGCGAGAGAATGTATGATAGCTACGTGATGGGTTGGAATTTAGTGAGCACCTTGGGCCTTGCGGCAGGTTGTCAGCACTGTATTTCCCCGAGAGCACGCCGAGAGCGAGAGGGGAGTATGCTATAACGCGGATGCCATTGGCCTCACAGAAGGACAGCAGATCTTCCTGCTCTTCACCCGAGCTCAAGAGGGAGAATTGCACCTGGTGGCACGGGATGGATGGATGGTTGGACGGATGGATGGGTGGGTGGGCTGGTGGGTGGATGGATGGATGGGTGTTTAACGTGGGTTCATAATGTTTGGTTCCATGAAGGAAAACTGAAGAAAGGAGTACGAGGCGACGACTGCCACGCTATGGCATGAAGGAACTCAATGGTTCGTGAGCAGTTAGTCACTTCAAAGAATTCTCAAAAGCGAGTGATGATTGCCACATATGGCTTGAAGTAACATGAAGATGAAGGAACCCTCGAGGAACCCAATGGCTCGTGAGCACTGAGACGATTTTGGAGTCCCCTCGAGAAACAACCTATGGCTGTCAGTTCAGGACAAACCCACCAAATGGGTTGTGCACAGGGATGTTCATTTTTGGCATGCATTTGGGAGTCGTGCCGTACCTGTGCCGAAGCTAGGGGCACTCCCCGTTCCTGCAGGTATGTGTAGATTCGCTCGAGTTGCTGCGGCCCGTAGTTGCTCACCCCCACACACTCCACCAGACCCTGGTTGGGGGTGGGGGAAGAAAGGATTTAGAGGAGAAATGGAGGGGTGGAGGACACGAGTTAATACTGGCAGTTTCTCAATGCAACACTTGTGAACAGGTAGACATTTTTTTGCACTGCAAGGGTTACAGTAACTCCTCCATATGTGCGTACAGTTTCATTTCACCTCCTCGTACGGTTTCATACCACCTCATCGTACGGTTTCATTTATCTCACATCCTCATACGGTTTCATCTCACCTCCTCGTACATGGCGACGAGTCCATCCCACAGCACCCTCTCCTGCAACGGAGCATAGTTGGCAGCAGACCAGTGCAGCTGACCAATCGCGAGCTTCTCCAAGCCCAGGCGATCCAGTGACGCTCTGATGCAGGGAAAGTCGAAAAACCAAGGGAAGAAGGGGATACAGAAGGGAGGGAAACGTTTGAGATAGGAGCACAATTGGCTGTTAAACCAATGCAGCTGGCCTATCGCCAGCTTCTCCTAGCCCAGACAATCTAGTGATGCTCTGATAAACGGGAGGTTTAACAGTTGAGGGAAGAAGGGGATACAGAAGAGAGGGAAATGTTTGATAGAGGAGCATGATTGGCTGTTAAACCAATGCAGCTGGCCTATCGCCAGCTTCTCCTAGCCCAGACAATCCAGTGATGCTCTGATGGAAGGGAAGTCGAAAAATCAATGGACGAAGGGAATACAGAAGAGAGGAGAATGTCTAATAGAGAAGCATGATTGGCTGTGGACCAAGCAGCTGGCCTACCGCCAGTGCCTCGATGCTTACATTCCGTGAGGGGGGGAGGACTGGGGGTGAGGCGCCACGGAGACGCGGCCAGCTTGGTGGCAATGCGGATGTCCAATCCCCCCACTACCCCCATCCACTCCCATGTCCCACGCGTCCCACACGCCCCCCATGTCCCACATGCCCCTCATGTCCCACATGCCCCCCATGTCCCACACGCCCCCCATGTCCCACATGTCCGCCCACCCCATCTCCCTCATCTCCCACAAGCTCCCCCCGACTGCCGCACCTGCAGGCGCCCACCATCTGTGCAGGGGTGAGGCGCCAGGGATACGCGGCCAGCTTGGTGGCAATGCGGATGTCCACCCCCTCTACTACCCCCATCCACCCTCAAGTCTCCCATGTCCCCCTTGTTCCCCATCTCCCCACCATCTCCCCCCATTTCTGGCAAGTACCAGCACGCACCTGCAGGCGCCCACCATCTGTGCAGGGGTGAGGCGCCAGGGATACGCGGCCAGCTTGGTGGCAATGCGGATGTCATTGCGGTACTTGTCACTGCCTGTCGCGGAGTGGGGTAGGGAGAAGGGGGAGGGGATGGGAGCGCACGCAATGGGTGGCAATGCGGATGTCACTGCGGTACTTGTCGCTGCCTAGCGGGGGATGGGGTGGGGTAATGGGAACGATGCAAATGTTGATGTGACACTTGTCAGTTGATGACGGCGGTAAGAGAAAACATGATTGAGCCAGGAAATAGAAAAAAAACAAGCATGCAGTACAAAATACAGAGTATGACAGGAGGATTCGCGAGTGATGCTGTGGAATACAGAAAGAGAGAGGTCTAGTACGGGAGAAAAGTGAGAGCTAGAATCCTTCTTACCAGGAAGAACTCCTTACCGGGGTACTCTTTAATGAACTGGCCCAGTAGCTGCTCGCTACGGCCACTAAGCGCTCCAGTTCCGTAGGAGTCAGCCGTGTCGAAGATATTAATCCCGCGCGACACGACCAGGTCAAATACCTCCTTAAGCTCCTCGTCCATCGCCTTGTCGTACCCCCACAAGAACTTATTTCCCCACGCCCACGTTCCGAGACCCATCGGGGAAACCGAGAACGGACCGAGCCGCACCTGACAGAGGACGTGTATACACAATGCGTTATGTGTGTTAAGGTGGTACGAGGATGAATGAGCTAACGAAATGCAACGCTAGACAGTGGTGCTCCTTTGCTTTAAGGTGAACTGCATGGTTGTATATTCTTTCAAAAAAGACAATGGATTACCCTTTCCCACGGAGCATACGCCCATCCTTCTCGAAACTCTCCAGAGTCGCTTTCCGGGGCGCCTCGCTTGGTGAAGAAGTCTAGAATGGCACGCGCTTCGACTTGAAGTACGGACCTCCTCGAAGTATTTCGAGATTGAACCGGTACCACGCGACTCGATGCTGAGCTCTTGCTTGGGAACTTGTGAGAAGCAAGCGACCCTGCCTCTCGCGAAGCGGGGCCTGAGAGCACGCGATTCGACCAGCTGAGCGACGTGGCAGCCATGGCTAAATTCCTGAAAATGTTGTGATTAGGAGCTGAACGCTTCAGGGAATTGAAGTATCAAAGAGATATGCCAGGTTTCGGCCTGGTTCAATTGGTTTCCAGTCGGTGATGCGCGGTTGCATGAAGCTATTTATGTGCTGGCTGTTGCGAATTTAGGTGATGCGCTTGATTGGACAAACAAGATTCGTGAGCTATGTGAACCGTTGATTGCACTCGAAACATTGCTTATCTACGAACACCGTTTGCCCGCCAGCCACCGTGATCGCACTTGGATTTGACACCCGAAGCACCAGCAATAGGCATCGTCACAGTTCGCGAAATCGCCAATTATCCGTTTGCAAGTCTCGCAACACATTTTCCCCAACCATTTGAAAGAGCAAATTTTCTGAGGGGTAACAGTTTCCACTCTGTGCGCGACCTTCACTAGCTATTTTCTGAGCCCAGTACTTCGTCGTTCAGGCATAACTGATGCGACTGCGCAGTTAGGCTCGGGTCGAATCGTACGCTGACGCATATCATCTGCATGGGCAAGACGTGGTTGTGACCGACGAGGTCAGGAGAACAATCATGGCGTCTAGAAGCAGGCGCTTTTTATGTGCATCGAAGCTGCGTCAATCGCTCAAATGCTACGTTCCACGAGAACTTTCTGCTGTTTCCAGAGCCACCTGTGATGTCAACTCGAAGGTCGTCATCCCTACCGTTCTTTCAGCAGGCAGACGCGCTCCACAAGGAGATTTAGTCTCTAATTTTACTTTGTCAGCGACATCAGCAGCAGCAGCTCCCAGGGATGCGAAGGGACGCGGAATCCGTTTCGGAAGTGGACCAATGTCGCCAGGTCTTGAAGCGCATCAACGGTCATTGTTGCCAGCTGCTCCAGCAAGCCTCTTGAGCACTGGATCGGCGAATTTCAGGAGAAATATGGCGAAATCTGGAATGTTGACTCCTTCGTTGAGAAGCTCTAGAAGCACCCTGGAACACACCAAGGCTCCAGCTGCTAGAGCTACACTCGCTTATGGCACCTCCTCTTTAAGTCACGCCACAGCGGCTGTCCACCTTTTCAAGAAAATCAGCGCCAGGATTACCATTGGACACGTTTATCTCTTGCCTGACCTGGGTTTTGCCACCTCAGCCAGATACTCCACCACGTCATTTGAAGATTCCACGCCTGAGAAGGGTGCCACGTCATCTCACCCTTCAAACCCAGTCAAAGATCCCATGAAGCCAGCTGCACGGCGTCCCTTAAAACCCAACGAGGCGCTGCGAGTGTTCATTGTTGCTGGCGAGCCTTCAGGGGACGCGCTAGGGTGCAGATTAATGACGGCTTTAAGAGACGAGGTTGATGGGCGGAAAGGGGATATCTGGGAGCAGGTGGAGGAAGGAAGCTTCCAGGAAGGACGTTCAGGGGCTGTTGAGTTTCAAGGTGTTGGAGGGTGAGTGTGCGGTGCATGTAGTGAGCAAGTGAGTGAGTGAGTGAGTGGTGCATGAAAACATAACGACTAAACTTTCAATGATGGGCTTTATGAGTGCCAGCTCACAACAACCGCATCACCCCCTTGCCCACTCCCACCACCACACCTTATGGGCTTCATGAAAACCAACTCATCTCTCCTCCCCCCACACATATTCCACACGCATCCTGTACCAACCACCTCCCCACCACCACCACCAGCCCCTGGATGGCATCGCAGGGCCTCAGCTCTCTCTTCCCAATGATGGACCTTTCAATCATGGGCTTCATGACAGTCAACCCACACATCCTCCCTCCACACACATCCCCCCCCCCCCCCCCCACCAAACCCACAGCCCCTGGATGGCATCGCAGGGCCTCAAGTCTGTCTTCCCAATGACAGACCTTTCAGTCATGGGCTTCGTTGAACTCATCCCTCGCATTCCGCTCTTATGGGTACACCCCTCGCTCCCATTTAGTGGCTTTTCTGTATCAGTATTTGTGCTCGTGTGCGGTTTCTTTCTTGTCAAATGGTCACGAAGTATGTTCTTTTTCACTCGCGTGACCTGTTTTGTGGAGTAGATGGTCACATTCGTAGGGGTACAGTGAATTTTTCTCCCCCAACCCCTTCCCCCGTCCCAGTATCGCCTGCGCCAGGCTGTCCGGCACGTGGAGCAATTTCAGCCACACATTGTCGTCACCATCGATTCCAAAGGCTTTAACTTCCGCTTGCTAAAGATTATCCGAGGTCAGGTCCTGCACTGGATTCACCTCTGCTGATTTTTCAGTCGACAGGAAAATTGGGTTAACCTTTGTTGACTTTTGAGTTGACTGAAACTCAAATGGTAATCTTTGTGGACTCTTTCATTGACTCCAAAGACATTGTCACTGCCATCAACTCCTCTGGCTTCATTCAACTCTCACCAGCTAAATCCCCGATTGAAGTCAAGACTTTGTGCTTGGTTGACTTCTGTTGATCCTGCGCTTTCAGGAGAGGAGACATAGATCAGGGCTTTCAGACAGTCGTGGTTTGATCTAAGTTAGCTAGACCGTTATCACGCTGAAGTGTATGGTCTTTTCGTGTTTTTGTGTGCGCGCTGCAGGTAAGGACAAGTTGCGTAGGCAAGACAAGGAGGCTCCGCTCTGTGTGCATTACGTGGCGCCGTCCTTTTGGGCAGTCAAGGGAGGGGAGCGCAGATTACGAGTATGTCAAGTGTGCTTGTAATGAAGTGCACATGTGTTCAAGTGTGAAGTGTAGACCAATCCGTTCCCCCACTGCACTTTCCTCCATGTTCTGTGCATTTCCGCATTTTCCCAGAAGCTCCCTCCTCCGCCCATTTCTCCCACCTGCATGTCTCCCTCAACTCTACCCAAGCAGAATCTCTCACCGTTGATGGACCATCTGCTGTGCATTCTGCCTCATGAGCCTGCCTTGTGTCAGCAGCATGGCATTCCAGCAACGTATGTGGGGCATCCGGTTCTTGAGACCATAGCTGAGGATCAGAGTACCAGGCAGAGTGGGGAAGGAGGGAGAAAAGTTGTTGGGGAGTGGAGAGGGGAAGGTGGGAGTGGAGAAACTAGAGAAGCAGGAGAGCCAGGAGAGGAAGGATTGCGAAGAGATCGGGGTAATAATTTGGCGGATGGACCATGGTGGAGGGCGAGTGGGGATGGAAGAGCTTTCCGGCAGCAACACGGCATTCCAGGTAAGGTTTTGTGCAATGAGCATGTGAACTTGCAATGTTCAAGGGGCTGTTTGCTTGTTTTCTGAATCTGATTCGGAAGTTGATTAAGTATGCACTCAACTGAATTTGATTCTGTATGTTTTGGCCTTTCTCAGCTGGGCCCCAACACATAACCATCTGCCTGCTTCCAGGAAGCCGCATACAAGAAGTATCCAGGATGCTGCCTATATTCCTTCAAAGTGTTGAGATATTGACTGCATCAAAGTGGCTCAGGGATTATTTGGATTCCCAAGGGCCAGGTGGCAAACTGTCACTGGTTATTCCAACCCTTCCACGCGCTTCAGAAGTGACTGTCCTTATCCGAGAAATTCTTCATTCTTGGCTTGATTCGTTAAAAAACAAGAGCTCCAGCTGGAGGTTTCCATTCAGTTTATCTCAATCTATGGATTCTGATTTAATGGTTGACGTTGCAGCTGTAGTAGTGGTTCCTGCACCGGAGGGCAACACTTGTGCGGACAGAACAAGCAAAAGCAAAATGTTCAAGACTGGACCGCATACCGATGCACTTGCTGTAAGATTCTGAGACTTCATTCCTCATCCAGTTCCATCCCTATTTCATGTTGTCGTGCTTACCATTTGAACTCACTGATAGTGGTGGTCCCCTGTGCCTTAATCCTGTCATAAACATGTTTTTGCGTGCAGGCATGTGATCTTGCTCTCTGTGTTTCTGGTTCCGTGGTGCTTGAGGTGCTTCGCTCGCAATTACCCCTGGTTGTGACGTATAAGGCCCACTGGATTACTCAATTCATTGTCAAGAAATGGTATGTAATGTGTTTCTTGATATATTTTGGCTGCGCAGTAGTTGGTAAGGGGCTAGATCCATAAATTATGATGCAATGTGACTGGTATTTTCCATCCACTCCATCAGTTTGGACTGCTTTTGTCTGCATGACAGGACTTCTATTCAGTTTGCATCACTGCCGAATATTCTCCTTAACAAACCTTCACTTCCTGAGGTCCTATTTTCTGAGTGTACCTCACACAGGCTGTCATCTGTTATCAGGTATGTGTGGGATCATGGTGTATATCTTTACCCATCTTGCAGAATGGGACCACAGCTGTTCTAAGCATGTTATGGCACCTTATGTGACAAGCTTGTGTTCTGTTATTGTGTTGATGAAAGTCCGTCACTGCGGATGCCTTGTTTATTCGCCCAGGGATTTAATGGAAAATTTTGACAGCTGCAAGGCTGACCAGTGCGCCACTGCTCATCTGCTCTTCAATGCTTTGCAAGAGCCCCTGAACAGCACTGATGCACATTCTCCTGACTCCAGGGAAGCACTCACTCCCAGCAAAATTGCAGCAGAAGTAGTTATCGATCGGTTCCAATATGTAAATTGACAACAATTTGCATGTTCAATGCTGCAGTTGGGTAGTGTAGATTGATCTGATTGACCCACTTGTCCAGGCCCTTTTTGGCACTTTCAGCCTCCTCTGGATATACGGAAGACTCATCTCTGTCTGACTTGGTTGCCGCATGTTACAGTAATTGTTGCGAAACTCTTATTCCAGAAATTCGCCCTCCAGTTCCTTTGAGAACTTCGCATCTCACTTTCAGTCCTGTAGATGAATCTCATGAGACTTAGAAGCAGGAGCTCTAGGAGAGTAACGAGGCTTTTAAACATACCTTCATTGGGCTGCAAGTTGGTGCTGGCAGCAACTGCATGGGACCGTGCTATGCTCCTGAAAGGGAGGAAGAGTTTAGACCATTCCGCCCCCCCAACAGCAAACAAGAAAGTCAGTGGCATGAGTACCTTGGTTGCCAGTCTCCATTTGGGGCGACCCATTTGCTTATGTTCAAAATATCTATCCAGGATACAGTCAGCAATTACGGTACAATCCAACATCTGGCCAGTAATGGAGTTGCGCTTACCTTTTAGCTCTTGACGGCCAATGGTTCCTGCATCAAAAAGTCCACCAGCAGCTTGGGGACAGTGAAACGGCGCTTCGTGTGAGGCTAGCTGCTCGTATTTCCACTCCCCACATTTCCATTCATCATGTAAAAACAACTCATAATGCCTTGCGTCAAGTGTTTGCATGGTGCCTGTGCAGGGAAAAGCGTTGTTGTATAGGTCCGTGTTCAACAAAACAGAAGTTGAAGCCGAATCGTCTTACCTTCACACGTTTTGAGGCTGCAAACAGGACAGCGGACAAGGTGGAGATCTGTACGAAGCAACAGTGTTGTGTTAGGACTGTGTCAGCATATAGATTTAGCCAAAAAAAAACAGCAATCTACCTGCAATCCATATTCCATTCTGGACGCCGTCAATTGTCCAGGAAGCCATCAAGCCGCAGTCTTCATTGCACTGAAACCACGCCTGGCGTAAGTTTCAACAACACGAACTGATAAACTACCTAGTGATGCGAGTCTGACCTCTGAGTCTCCCTCCCGCTGGAATCCAGCTGCTTTTTGAAGTGTGTCGGTCGCTACGACTCTGCCGCTGGTGACCGAAAATGCTCCAATTCTCATCCAATCTGGAAGACGAAGTAAATACGGCTGCCGCGAAAATCAAGCAGGAAATCCTTGTGCCGTCACTTACCAATGTGTTTGTCGGATTGTCTTGAGCTGTAAGTGTGACTGCCGTCTGTAAACCAGATAATAGGGTTCAGACATTGCACGCTAGATATCCAGAGTAAACAAGAAATGTAGTACCTATAATGCTTTTGTAGATGTCCAGCCAACCAAATTGGGGCTTATTAGAGGGTGCATTGCAGCCCAGCTCCTGTAGACAGCGAGTCTTCCATGTGTATTCTTCCATGGCAATAGATAGAAATGACTTATTGCATAATGCTAGGGACATAATATCTCGACCGTCAAGCTTTTCCATAATTTTGCCCCATGGAATCGACGATTCCATTGCAGAGCACGGATGATGCCTCTGCAGCTTGAAAACAGATTCCATTCAGACCAGCATACCAAAGCTTGTGAGGAAACAGGCCTTTGTAGTGCATCGCTCGTCAACAAAGCATGTGAGAATGGGTGATGTCTTTTGGCGGGAACTGAAATTCGCGAAGGTAGCCGTTGTGCCTTCGCGTGGGATCTCCAAGGATGAAAATTCGTCGGAGGTGCTTCTTCGTTAGTAACTCAATTGGTTACCCACCGCAACACTGAATAGAAACAAGCTATACCAATCATGCTAACAGCCTACCCACCCATACCAACTAAAAAAATATTTAATAACATTCAGAAAAGGCGTCAAAAGACTATAAATATTAAAATAATTTAGTGTTAATGCATTTAGACTAAATTATCTGTATTAGAAAATTACATGCCTAATGAAATCTGTACATTTCAACTGATAATGCATTTCACAGTTCGTTGAACTTAATAAGGATACATAAGGATAGATTGATACTAATTCGAAACAAATCCCAGCTATTGTATGTGTCTATGTATCTAGTTAAGGTCCAGCATGCAAAACTTCAATGTAAGGCATCAATGTAGGTATTGTGAATCGTGATTCACCTTTTTGTAGTTGTCTCGATATAGGGCCTTCATATTTCAACATCGATCACTGCGAAGCCGTTCAGGCAGCGAATGACCTTACTAGTTTGAGATGAACCATAGCAGTGTCCATCGCGGGTGTGTTCTGTTGTCTTGCCACTGACGCAGCTATGGGCAATGCACAAGGGCACGCAGGGGTGGATACTACAGCTGAGACTTACTCTCGCGTCGTTTTTACTGGTCTCGATGCACACAATGACGGAAGTGGGGGACGCGTTTTATTCATCGCAGAAGACAAAGATAGCATAGAAGAACTTCCGTATGCGAGCTCCGAGTCAAGCTTACGCTTTTCTGGAAGTCTCTCCCAATCGAATCTCGACGCCTTACTTTGTGGCCCTCAACCCGTAGACCTTATCAAACACCAAGATGTCCAGGACACTCACCTGTCTAAAATTCCTTCTAAGCTCAGCTTTTCCGTGACAACCGATGATACACAGGTGACACATAAAGCGTTGGAGATTCAAGTGGATATGCGCACACCTTGGCGGCAATGGGATTTTCAACACCAGAATTACGCAATTATTGCGTCACGGGAAACGCCATTCGGCTTCATTGTTGCGCCTGCGGAGACGTCACCTAACATACAACTCAGCAAGAAACAGTTTCTGTTTCTTGGTTTGCAATTCTTGAAGGCCTTACAAAAAGAAGCAAGGTCCAGTAAGTAATTTCGAGGTACGGACTTTCTTCTGTTAACTTTTCGTGCCACTCATGTTCCTGATTTGCCTGCGTAGAGAAATACTGGAAAGGTATCGCTGAAAAACTCAGTCATGAACTACACGAGGAAAGGAGGCGGCGAGACATTGTAACAAAAGATCTCTTAACGGAAAAGAACAAGCTAATGGACGAGCTTGCTCATTCGACATTGCATAATCGATCACTCATTAAGGCAAACAGCGACCTTGATGGTTGCATTGAAGAATGTAGGGCTGTAATTGATTTTTTGGACTTCCTCTTACATGTCTAAGGCAACCGCTGAAAAAGGTACGAACCTTTTTTTACCAGACAAGGTATTGAAGTCCGTGCCAGTAACAGTTGTCCGTTCTTTCATGCAGCACAACTGGTTAAGCGACTTCAAGATCTTTCCAGATCCGCTCACCACCAGGCTAGTTACTTACTCACCCTGCCAGCCAACCGTTTGTCATTCTCTTCCATGGGCCACAACTAACCCCGTCACTTTTTCAGAAAATGGAGCTTTCTTCTCTAAAGAATCAAAACCAGGAGCTAAAGAAGTCACTAAACATCTGCCAACGGCAAATTATGCTCCTCGAATCAACCCTTTCTTCACGAGAATCTGAGGTCGAGAGGCTGAATGCTGAACATTCGTCGCTGGCCTCATCCATGAGTCAATGCCTGAAGCAACACGAAGAAGCAGTACAAGAATTTCAGCAGAAAGCAGCATCGATGCAGACAACCTTTTCTGAGATGGAGCTTTGTAACGTGAGGCTCAAGCACAACCTCTCATCGCAGGAAGCCGAACTTGAGAGGCTTAAGGCTGAACATGAAAATATGGTCTCATCAATGATACAAGACCTTAAATGCCATGAAGAGGCGAAGCTTGGATCAGAAAAGGAGTTGGCGGACTTGCAGACGAGGTTTCCTGAGTTGGAGCTCTGCAATGCCATGCTGGAACAGAAGGTTGCATCGAAGGACGCAGAGCTTGAAACGGCCAAGGCTGAGCACAAAACTGCATGCACATCTATCCTTCAAGACCTCAAATTCCATCAAGACACCAAGCTTGAGATGGATGAGAAAGCAGCATCAATGAAGAGGAAAATTTCAGAGCTGGAGTTGCAGACCTCGACATTGAAAAAAAAAACAGGTACGTTAAGCAAGCAGACTGCAGCGTTAGGCTAAATGTGCCCTCACTCATATTGTCATGTTACAGAGCAACTCAAGTGCGAACTGGATGAGTGCCGCGTTTATCAAAACGAAATGGAGGTTCAGACCTCGACATTGAAAAAAGAAGCAGGTACGTTAAGCAAGCAGCTAGCAGCGTTAAGCTAAATCTGCCCTCACCCTCAATGCGGTGTTACAGATCAACTAAAGTCTGCACTGGATGAGTGTCACGCTCACCAAAAAGAGATGGAGCTGGTGAATAAGAGGTTATTACACCATGAGAACACTCTCATACAAATGCGCAGTCTTGCCAAAAGACTACGCAATGAGAAGGTACTGGTACAACCACCACCTGTAGCCCCCTTTTTCATTATCTCTTCTCAAAGCCCTTTTTTTTTTTTTTTTTTTTTTTTCCTCGCAGAATGAGTTGCTTGAAAAGGTTGAACTGCTGAAATCAGCCAACGAAGAGCAAGAAGACTAACAGTTCGCAAGTACAGGCACTTGCTCAGAAGCTGAGAATGGTAAGACTAGCTGCCGGTAGCATGTTTTGTTCATTGGGGTGGGGCTGACAAGGTCACTCCATTATGTCAGGCAAAGAGTGAGCTGGCAGTCTGGAAGGAGCGGTGCTTGAATCAAAGTCTAAAATACACATCCACTGAAGACATAGAATGTTCTGCCTCAGCTGTAACTGGACGGCTCAAGAAGGTACAATCCAGCTAATTTTTCTAGACATTTGGGGGTGGCCCAGGCTAACAGGCTGTTGTGTTTGTGAACAGCACCGGTCCTTTTCAAAGCCTGCCAGCCCTTCATTGTCATACTCTGCTGCATCAGTAAGTGCTACGGGCATGCCAATAAAGTGGTGGGGTGGTAGAAGAGATGAGAGAATGCGTGTTAATGGTAACTGCGCTGCACTCTGAAAGCTGTCTTGTGATTCCAGATCCCGTCACATCCCCGTTGTGAGCAATCTGAAGGCACAGGTGCAACATTCTCCACGGCAAATTATTCTCAATTCCAGGTAAGGTACATGTGTCTCGCCATTTTTTCCTTCAACACAATGTCTAACCTGCATGCATCTTTGCAGGGAGCGTCTCGTTTGTCAAAACGCTCAAGGATCCACCATAACGAGCTGGTTCATTTTCAATCAATAGGTACTGGCCGAATTGCCAGCGAATCTTCAGAAAGCCATGCTCTCGTTCCGAGGAGCCCAGCAGCACGTCCCATGTTGGCACAGCAAAAATCACGGAATAAGTGCTATTTTCCCAATGTGAACACTTGACTCCATCAATGCGTGTGCAACTTGCACATCTGCCATGGAGAGTTCCTGAAATATTACGGGCTTCAATTGTCCAGAGGAGATGAGTGGCCAAACGTTGGCCTCCACTTCCCTCACAATCTCTGTCTTCTGATCCAGTGGTCTGGACCTTAGGCCTGCAGCTGCAAAGACAAGGAGGAAGGTAGATATTACCATCACGAATGAAAACAGATAACACACAACAACCATATGCAGATCCTTACAATGCAGGGAAAGCCGCTTCATCAACATGCGTCCTAGATCCACACTGCCAATGTGACCACCCTGAAGGCCTATCACAACCATTCGGCCATCCTCCGCCAGGCAAGAAAGGTTCTCCATGTAGGAAGCACCCATGTTGTCAAGTATCACATTGACACCTGTCGACAGTCACAAAGTAACGATCCAATGCAAAAGAGGCAAAAGGATGTCATATCTGAACCAGCCAAAAGCTGACCAGCTGATCAGGCTTCAAGATAAAATTGCTAAAACATCAATCCAAAACTATATGAAAGGTAGCTACTATCGAGATAGTAGGTATACTGAGGAGCCATAGCTAGGGTTGACCTAGCTAGGCAAGAGAGAATGAAGGCAAAAGAGAGGGTTTCACTAGCAGCAGTTGGGGTACATATAGCAAACCCTAACTGGGTTGTACTCGCTATAGAGCACCCCACTACAGGCTAGACAATAATAACATTCTGACACACCCCCATAGCCAAAGTGGGGTGTAATCAGTACAATGAGCAGGCATAGCAATAGTTCACAATTATAAGCAAAGCTAGAGGTGATCATAGAGGGCAAGTGAGGAGGAGGAGAAACTGTGAGGGCGAGAAGATGAAAGGCGCCGACTAAAGCTGCAGACACACGGGCAACAGGAGCGGCGCGCACAGTGGCTACCGAGCGCACGAGGGCACCGGACTACGGGAGTATCTGGCTCCGCGGCTACGACGAGCACACACAGGAGCAACGGACCCACAGGCGACTGGCGAAGCAGGCTCGCTGGGCTACCGAAACGCGCGAGGGCATCCGGACTACTGGCGCTGCTGGCGTCACGACGGCTACCTCCACGCAACCTCCCCCGACCGTCCCACGCCCCTCTCACACACCCCCTGCTGACACCCTAGCTCCACTTCCACGGCACCCCCCTTAAACCCTAAACCCTCGGCTCCCACACACCACCCCCCTCAGCGGCAGCTGTAGCAGAGGGAGACGAGGGAGGAGGAGGAGCAGGGGGAGGAACTCACAACCGACACCCCCATAGCCGCCACCCCCACACTCTTCACCCCCAAACCCTAATTCAGGAGAACGGGCTGTAGGAGGGGTGGGGCGCCGGTAGAAGCACGGGGGACAGTGGAGAGGGCAGGAGCAGCGAGGAACGGGCCGCCCACGGGCCTGGTATAGCCGCCCGAACCGCGCGCAGGCGGCCCGAGCCGCGCGCGGGCCTGGCGCTTCCCGTACGGGCCGCGCGCGGGCCTGGCGCAGCCCGTACGGGCCGCGCGCAGGCCTGGCGCAGCCCGTACGGGCCGCACGCCGGCTGTACGGGCCGCGCGCAGGCCACGACGGGCGACGGGGGGCGACGCGCGGGTCCCCGTCGCCCGTCGCAACGCCTCCCGGGGGCGACGCGTCGAGTGACGGGGCAGAAGCCCGCCGCGCGCCTCGGGGCGCACAGCGGGCAGAGAACCGCCGCGCGCCACGGGGCGCACGGCGGGCAGAAAACCGCCGCGCGCCTCGGGGCGCACGGCGGGAAGAATAAACTGCCGCACGCCACGGGGCGTGCGGCACATAGAGTAGCAGCGGAAGTTGCAGCGGAAGCAACGAGGTGGGGCCCACAGGCCAAGGACGTAACGGCTCTGATACCATATCGAGATAGTAGGTATACTGAGGAGCCATAGCTAGGGTTGACCTAGCTAGGCAAGAGAGAATGAAGGCAAAAGAGAGGGTTTCACTAGCAGCAGTTGGGGTACATATAGCAAACCCTAACTGGGTTGTACTCGCTATAGAGCACCCCACTACAGGCTAGACAATAATAACATTCTGACAGCTACCATTACCTTTCCCACCGGTCTCCTCCTTGACACGTGCCAGAAAATCCTCCTTGCGATAGTTGATTGTTACATTCGCACCCAGTTGACGGCACTGATCCAGCTTCTCTGTTGAGCCTGGCGAGGGAAGAGGAAACAGAGTTAGTCCGCTAAGACTTCCAGACATGGCCACCACCCAGTCATGCTAGATCTTGCACTTGCATCCCCAAGGGACATAGATACCATGAGAAGTACATATAATGAACATGGTACAGGTGAACAGATGTACCGCATCAGCTCAGAGATTTGCTACTACTTTTCTTGATTTCTTGTCGCTTACCAGCTGTACAAAAGACACGACTTCCGAGCAGCTTCACCAACTGAATAGCAAATGTACCAATACCACTGGATCCACCATGCACCAGAAACGACTCTCCAGGCTGCAGCTTCGCCATCATGAAGACAGTGGACCACACCGTGCATGCAGCCTCCGGTAGAGCTGCAGCGTCCACTAGCGGCACACCTTCTGGCACTGGAAGAAGCTGGGACTCAGGTACTGATACATACTCAGCGTATCCACCCCCAGCCAGCAGTGCACAGACCTAAGCAAAGGTAAAGTGGAGACGATAAAGTACCACAAAGAAAGGAGAGCTTAAAACAGGCACGTTGAGGGACAATACCGATGGTGATTCAGGAATTGGTATGTATTCACCTGATCGCCAACCTTCCAGCGTGTTACGTGAGAGCCAACCGACTCGACGGTTCCAGAGCACTCTAGACCAAGAATGGGTGATGCACCTGAGAGAGAGGAATTAACAAGGGAAAAAAACAGTCCCATTCCGGAACTCAGAAACAGCAAAAAAGCATGTGCAAATGGGTTTGTGCGTCCACAGAACCGTGCTCACTCTGTGCACCCATGCGTGTGTCCATATATGAAAAGTGTGATGATGCAACGAGAAATACGAACATACGCACTGACCTTTAGGTGGAGGATAGGATCCCAGGCGTTGCATGATATCGGCTCTGTTCAAAGCAGTAGCAGCAACACGAATCAGCACCTCCCCTTCCCGAACCTCAGGCATCGGAACCTCCCGGACCTGGAGGACCTCCGCACCTCCAGGCTCGTCAAATACAACAGCCTTCATGTGGGCCTTGGATCGGAGAGAGGACGATTGGCGGGATGTAACGGATAACGGAAACGATAGAGAAGTGTAGAGAAAGGGAGGAGAATGAGATGTTGACGAGCGGGATTCAATGGTGTGGCTAGTGGGTCTCCAGGAGGCTAGAAGCCGGAATTGTTTTACATACGTTGAAGGTGATTCGCGTGGAGCAAGAAGAGGAAAGAAGGGAGCTGGTGGCAAAGGATTGAGGCCAGGTCGAAGAGATAGGTCCGGCTTCAAGCTTGCAAGCAATGCTGCTGGTCTAAGCGCAGGTCTTGTTCGGTCCAACAGTCCGAGCCTCGACAATGGTAGTAACGCTGATGATTCAGATGGTATTGGGGGAGAGATTGATGGCAGCGAGGCGCGGCGAAACCGGCGAGCAGTGGGAAGAAATCTGCTCAAGAAGATAAGGCGGGGAACGGAAGCGGGGAGGGGAGGAGGGGCCGCGAACAGTGTGGTGGTCAAGGGCGGAAGAGGGTCAGGGAGAGAGAGTGAAGCGAGGGGAAAGGGGGTGGGGTTGTGTGGAGGTATGCCGCAAAGTAAGGACTTTGACAAAGAGTGAGACATCCTTGCTCAAAGTGTGGAAACTCTCGCGAGAAGAAGAACGAGAGAAGGGCATTGCGGAATCCGACGGCCCTCCAGCATTGCGAGCAAGAGTGTATCAGGCCAGTCCACTGGGCTGCTGCAGCAAAGCTCCCAGTACACAGATACTGAATGCGTCCCGTTCAAAAAAACTATTAATAAGGAAATGGGGGCTGAATTCCATACCGCATAGCTCGCTGATTCATAACTTGCTGGCGGATCTCTCTGCAAGAAACGGAGGAAGAATCGACCAGATAGAAGCTGGCGAATAGCGGTTTGAGAGGAACCGCATATACCGAACGAACCCTGTCGCGCTCGATAAAGCTTGTGGCTAGGATGAAGGCAGCCCGAAAGCACGTGCTTACGTGTTGCACTGAAAGCGGTGCTTCTTCCCTGGTCTCGACAAATGCGCCCGGAAAATAAAGCGCATTGACAAGAATCCCTTGATAGGAGAGTAGGGACTAGGGGCTGGGCAAGAACAACACGAATCTGCTCCTTCGCTGGTATGCTGTTGCAATGGTCGCCATTTGCGTGTGAGCTTTCGCGAAGAGGGGAACGGCCGGGCTTTGCGAATAAAAGACTCCGATAGAACGTCGGTATGGTTCACATTTCCCAGGCACATGGAAAAAAAATTGAAGAGAAATATACACCAAATACACCAGACTTTCCATTCAATCATTGTGGCTCAAATCTGTTCTTTGCTAAGCTTAATCAGGAGCTCGCAAGTGCGCCGATTATGACCAGCACTGCCACATTTAGAGCACCGAATAAGCCTGTGCATCACTTTCCCTGCCGTGACCTCCAAGGTGGCTGCCAGAACAGGTGTCACTCGTTTGCTCATTCTGGAATCCTCAGGAAGGACCTTGCAGGATCGACGATTATGTCCGAGTTCCCCACACCTTGAGCACTGCATAAGCTTCCGCAAACCTCTTTTTTTACGATCTTGCTTCACATGCCCCAACGAGGGACAGAAGTTTCTTCGATGCCCAGGCTGCCCACAAGCTTTACAATGAAATGCCACACCTGGCATGGAAGGGACGGAAGGGGTGGATGGGATGGGAAGACACACGACACAACAACATGTGAAAACAGGGGAGATTTAGGCAGGAACATGATCAGGATAAAAAAAAAGGATTGTAGCCAAGAACAGGGGTGGTGTAACAATATAACAGCACCTGTCTTGACTTGGCTGATAAGCTGCCTGAATGCAGGGTCAGCAAAACGCTGCTTGGCCCGAGCTGAAATTTTGGATGGAGCGTTCTTCTCGTAGTATCCCTTCTGAAAATACGGAGGGTGAAAAAGGGAAAGCGAAGGCGAAAAGTCAAGGCAAGAAATACAGTTCATGGGAAGGCGGTAATACAATTGTCACGCATTGGTAGTAAGGCTGTACTCCTACACATCTCATCAGACATGGGCGTAACAGTGCAAATTCTATGCGAGTTGGTTGGTTTGTAAATTCTCATGTACACCTTCTGACATGCATCAGGGAGAACAAACATGTATGTGCATCAGGGAGAACAAACATACACCTTCTGAAGGACCATGCAAAGTTGGAGCATGTTTGAAAAGCAGACCAACATAGATTGACACAGACTGACACCAAACTCACCATCATTGCTGCCAGCAACCTTTCTTTCCTTTCCGGGTCCGCAAATCTCTCTCTGGCAGTCTTTGACAGGCGCCCAGTTCTCCTCTCTAACGCTCTCAACCCCTCACTAATCCTCCTCCTCTCCTCCTCTGGCCTTGGCCCGTACACTCGCTTTGTCTGCTGCCTCCTCCTCCTCCTCTCCATCAACTCAGCCTCCACTGCAGCGTCTGCAGCCGCTTCTGCCTCCTCGTCCCCCTCTATAATCACCTGCCCCCCCGGCCATGGCAAATACAAGAACAGGCTTCTGCTGCTGGGATTAGCGCCACTGCTGCTGCTGATACTGCTGCTGGTGTTTGTGTTGGTGCTTGTACCTGACACATAATTACTGCTATGAACAGCCCTGCTGCTGGGGGGGCTCTCATTAGCACTCCGTGTGTTCATGCCACTACCACCCACGCCCCGAAACACTCCGTTTTCGATAAGAGGGCCTCCCTTGCCGCCCCTGCTGTTGGGCAGCGTAGCCTGCCATCGACCCAGCAGCTCGTGGCCTGGAGGGACATGTGGCACAAGACGACTGGCTGTGCGCAACCGCCTCTGTCTCTGGAGAGTTCGTCTATCCGGTTCCTCCACTTGCTGCGTTGACGGTAGGCGGGGGTCTCCGCCCGCGGTGCTTCCACTGCTGCCGCTATGGTTGCTTTGGCTTCTTCCGCTGTCGCTTCTCCGGGTGTTGCTGTTCTTATTGTTGCTGATGCTGCTGCTACCGCCGCCGACGACACAATTCTCTTCAGAATCCCCCTTGGCACCATCACGAATGCTTTTAACCACGCCACTGACGCGTCTGTCTGCTAATCCTCGTTGTCTCCTCCATCTCGAATTGCCAGAAAACGGTTCTTTGAGGCCACGTGCTGACGCTTTGAGAGTCCTACCGGCGGATATCAATCCAGCAGCATTAACGGCCGAAACCGTCAAGTTCTCCGTCACCGTCACATAATCGCGTTCGTCGTTGATAAGTGACCGTACACTACTACCTCTTCTCCTTGTCTTCCGTCCCATTCCCATGCCTGAAAGATTTGCACCGAATCCTCCTCGACAAAAGCTCGTAATAGCGTCGCTGAAGCTGCAGATTGAGCTCGGATTTCTGAGTCTGGCGCAGCTGGAAAGCCCGTCCTTGAATCCATGGGTGCAACGCGACTGACGGTCATCGACGCAACAAAATTGGGTATGCGTTGACGCGGGAACTCTTAATCTGTCGGTTTCGGTGTCAAGACTGAGCATCAAGCCGTGGATTGTGAAAGATGCAGGTCGCGAGTGGAAGGGAGAATGGCGATTGGTTTGTAAGATCGCGAATGAGGAGGTACGAGCAGTGCAGAGCATGGCAGACCCACCACACAGTGAAGGCTGCTACAAGGCAGGACCGCTACCGATATCGCAGACGAGTTTAGGAGACTGAAGTTGAGGAGACACGTAACTCGCAAACGGCCAAGTGACAAACTAGAAGCATTGGGTGGGAAAGAAAGCAATTTCTGCTGGGGAATGTGGCGAATGGGAACATCGAATGAGAAAGGAACACGCAGAAGGGAAGAACTGCTCGGAACAAGGGGTTATGCGAAGGACAGATATTTCTCTGACGAGATTCGCGAAAGTTACGCGCTCAAACGTGGAAGCAGGCGACTTGTTTGTTTAAGTATTCCTCCAGAAGCAGCATCGCTAGTATTCATGAGCTGTCAGTCCACATGATTTGATTACATATATGAAGTTATATATCTTCTCCTGCGTAGGAATCCCAAGCCAAATGCCATCAGTGCAATTTCCTTCTTGATCAGGATCAAGGCACTACTAAGATTTTCTCAGGCTAGCACCACCTAGCCTTCTCTTCTCGTAGGTCATTCCCTTGCATCGCTCGGAGTTTGACCTTACGATCTCGTCGTTAGCGCAGGTTCGCAGGTGGCATCTTTATCTCTGATATCTCTTCCGTCTCGTGAATTGTCCAATTCCGGGCTATAACTTTGTTGTACCAATTGTCCAACCTTTCCCCGCTACTACCGGCGAAGTCGTACGATCAGTCGTACTCCGACAATGGATGAGAACCTCTACGACGAGTTCGGAAATTACATCGGACCGGAAATCGCGTCCGATGAGGAAGAAGAAGAGGAAGAGGAGGAGCAGGAGCAGGAACTAGCAAACGGCGAAGGCGGAGCAGGAGGTGAAATTGTAGGGATGGAAGAAGACGAAGAGGAGCCGGATAACGAGGGAGCGGTGATATTAGCCGAGGATAAAAAATACTATCCGACGGCGATCGAGGTGTACGGCGAGGACGTCGAAACCCTAGTCGAGGACGAAGACGCTCAGCCGTTAGAAGAGCCGATCGTCAAGCCGGTCCGGCAGTTCAAATTCGAGGTGGCTTCGAAAGGCGTGCTCGCGACGTACGTGTCGACGGAGTTCATTGTCGGATTGATGAAAAATCCAACCCTGGTCCGAAACGTCGCGCTAGCAGGCCACCTCCACGCAGGAAAAACCCTCCTTATGGATATGCTCGTCGAGGCGACACATCCTGACGTCGCAACGTTGAATCCGGAGAGCCAGCGGCACATGCGGTTCACGGATACGCGTGTGGACGAGCAGCAGCGGATGATCAGCATTAAGGCGGTTCCGATGTCGCTGGTGCTGGAGGATTCGGCGGGGAAGTCGTATCTGTGCAATGTGGTGGACACGCCCGGGCATGTGAACTTCTCGGATGAGATGACGGCCGGGATGCGCCTGGCGGACGGCGTGGTGCTGGTCGTTGATGCCGTGGAAGGAGTCATGGTGAGATGTGGAAGGGTAGTGTTTTGTTGCTGCTCTAGGGTAAATGGGTCATGGTGAGTTGTCAGCTTGACGAGTGGGGGTTGTCTATGAGAGTTCAGTTTCGGTATTGGGGTTAAGGGAAAAGGGAATGTCACTTGAAAGGGTGTGGCTGGCGGGTGGGTGGATGCTGTGGAAGCTTTGTGGTTAGTGACTGCTTCGGATCAAAGAATGACGGTTTGCTGTTGAATTGGTGAGAGGATCCATCTTGCAGAGGGGATGGCTCTGATAGTGGATGTTAGATGTTCATGGTAAGAACCCCTTTTTTTTCCACCTGGTCAGAGTTTCCTGACTTCGAAGTGTGAGGTTCACAGTCACTAGTCAGTCACTAATCTCTAGTCACCGCCAGCCAAAGTGTTGGTAGTGGTGCATGTCCTTGTTGTCACTCTCTCTTTCCTCTCGTTGCCTGGTTGGTCAGGTGAACACGGAGCGAGCACTGAAGCACGCGTTGCAGCAGGGTTTGGCAATCACTCTCTGCATCAACAAGGTGCGCCCTTTCGCCCTTTCCCTCTCTTGCCCAACAAGCTGAGCTCTCTCCGTAATGAGTGTTTTCTAGAACACTCTAATGTGACTCCAATATAGCATGCGTTGCAGCAGGGTCTGGCCATCACTCTGCATCAACAAGGTGCGCCCTTTCGCTCTCGTGAACTCCTTCTCCTTTTCATCGACTGTTCGCCCACTCGCTTCCCCTACCCTCTGTTCGACTGTGCCCCTACCCTCGCCCTCCACTGCTTTGCTCTCATTGCGACCTTCACACACCTGGACCCTCTCCACCTCTCTTTATTGCCTCCTCTTCCATTTCCTCCTCTCGATCCCCCACTTCTCTCTCTCTCTCTCTCCCCTTCCGGTACCCCTCTGTCAGGTGGACCGTCTAATCACAGAGCTCAAGTTGCCTCCGCCAGACGCTTACCACAAGCTGCGCCACACTTTGGAAGAGATCAACGCCCTTATCGCCTCCTATGCTCCCGCCGCCATGGCCGCCCGAACCTCCGGCTCAGGCTCGGCGATCGTCTCAGCTGCCATGCCTTCCGAAGCTCCCCAGCTGGACCCGGTCCTCGGAAACGTCTGCTTTGCCTCTGCTGCTGCTGGCTGGTCTTTCACCCTCCTTTCCTTCGCCCGGCTTTACACCCAAACTCACGGGGTAAATTTCGATCCTGAACAGCTCGCGAAGCGGCTCTGGGGTGACCTGTACTACCATCCGGACACCAGATCCTTCCGAAGGAAGCCACCCGCGGGAGGCGGCGAGCGGACGTTTGTGACTTTTGTCCTGGAGCCGCTGTATAAGCTATACTCCCAGGTGGTGGGAGAGCATAAGAAGAGCGTAGAGGCGACTCTAGGCGAGCTTGGGGTGTCTCTCCGTCCCTCTACCTACAAAATGAACGTGAAACCGCTGCTTAAGGCGGCTATAGGGGCGGTTTTAGGGGGCGGTGCAGGGGGCTTGGCGGATATGATTATCCGGCATTTGCCGTCCGCCAAGGCTGCTGCTCCGGTGAAGGTCCAGACGACGTACACCGGCCCGCTGGTGGGCAAACGGGCGGCTGCGATGCTGTCGTGCAGCGCGAAGCGACGAGGGCCGTTGATGGTGCATGTGACGAAGCTGTACCCTAAACTGGACTGCTCAGCGTTCGATGCACTAGGGAGAGTGATGTGTGGGACTCTTAGGACGGGGCAGACGGTTAGGGTCTTGGGAGAGGCTTATTCGCCTGATGATGAAGAGGATATGGCGGTTAAGGTGGTTACCAAACTGTGGTTATATCAGGCTAGGTACAGGGTGCCGATTTCGTCTGCTCCAGCTGGCTCCTGGGTGCTTATAGAGGGAGTGGACGCGTCTATAACGAAGACAGCGACCCTCTGTGAGGAGTTTGGCCAGCAGGGGGGCTACGGGGGCGCGGAGGACGAGGAGGAAGAGGAAGCAGGGGGGAAGAAAGGCGGAGCGGGCGCAGAAGGCCGGTGGAGGAGGAGGAGGAGGAGGAGGAAGAGGAGGAGGAAGAGGAGGAGGACGACGAGGACGTGTTTATCATCGCGCCGCTGAAATTCAACACGGTGTCGGTTGTCAAGGTAGCAACAGAGCCGCTGAACCCGTCAGAGCTGCCCAAGATGGTGGAGGGGCTGAGGAAGATCAGCAAGAGCTACCCGCTGGCCGTCACACGGGTGGAGGAATCTGGGGAGCATACAGTGCTGGG